ATAATGAACTAAAGCAGCCATCTTGCAATATAAAATGTCTTTTCAAGACTTCAATTGATATCAGATGAATGAATTACTGTTATAGCAGGAAAAGGCGGAATCTGAAATCAAACAATTCAGGAAAAGCCTTAATTTCAAAGCTACGCCTATGCCTTCATTCTATCATGTAGCTGTACCACCGGCCTCCAATGAAAACAAGGTACAATAGCATTTTTGGCGTTTTGCCGTTGTCTTACTTTAGCCTACATTTATGGCCAAAAAAGTAATAAATCCAATCTGTCACATTGAGTTGGTGTGTGTGTGGATTAGCTATTGTGCTGTTTTGTATTTTTTCTGCCTTCCAATTACAAGTGGTCTGATCTTAATTATTGCAGAAATGAGATCAGCATATTATCTTATGTAATATTGGGCTTTTTGATTATTTGATTTTATTCTCAAAACTCTTTGAGTGTGTTGTACCTTGATTTCACTTGTAGAATTGGTTTGCTTCTTGTTTTGCTTAATGCAAGTCGCGTCAACTTAATTTGTTATGGATCTTGCCAGCAGTATATATGTGTGCACGCATATGCAAGCACATGTTAACAGGTATACATTGTTGTTGAGAAAGAACTATCTAGTTGAAAAATCCATTATTTATGAATGGAAGGGGAATTCTATATGCATTTTCTACTACAGGTTAATGGATAGCACAGTAAGAGAAAAGGTGAGGGGGAAAAGGTGTTCTCATGGATGGTATGCCTTGTTGTCAGAGTATGGCTATAGGGATATTATGAGAATGTCACTAAATTAGCGTGGCCTTCATCCTAAATCAATAATTATGTTCTCTAAAATATATATTTTCCACTCCAGTATCTTCACAATTCAGCCTCAAGCTCTTCTTTGTTCGCTTCTGCTCGACCTTCTCTGTGTAATTTTTCAAACTATGACCCAAAATGTGATAACTTGTTCTTTTCCTCAAGCAGTTTTGTGTTTTTGCTGTCTGAACTTCACACTATTAGTTGGCAGAATTAAAGCCAGCCTTTTGTGCTTCTGTCTCAGGTTTCATTATCTAAAACCAAACCAGCTAAAGCACGGCACAAGTCAACAAGTCCAGCGAGTGGAGCAGCTGCTAGGCCACAATTGCTTTCCAGGGCTGGAAAAGACCAAGCCCTCTCTGCTAATGAATTTGTGAAAACACCTAATGAGCCTGAACCCTCAGAAAGAACCGATCATCCTCCAACAAAGGTTTCTGAAGCTCTCGATACTTCACCAACCAAAAATAGCAGGCACAAGCCAGATGCTCTAACTAAAACTGTTGTCACTGGTAAGAACGAGAGAGGAGGGAAGGTGAAGGATACTAATTTCCTAAGGCATCGAGTATCCGAAAATACCAAAGTACCAAAAGACCTGAAGTTTGACGGAAAGGCAAAAATGGGAAACCACAGAAGTAGCGGTGAGATGTTGAGGAAAAGTATAAAACGCATTGGAATTGGAAGTAATTCTGGAATGGGTCGTCTAGCTGTTGGTGTAGCCTCCTGAAATGAGTGGTTGTGACCATTTTCGAAATATACTACACATTTGCATATCAAGGTATTGTTAGCATGCTTGGTACCATGAATTTGAATACAATTCCAAGAGAATGAAGGTCATATTAGGGTGGGGTGAGACCACACCTGTTCTTTATCAGCTGCTTTGAAATGTCAATTCTCAAGTCAACTATTGATGGCATTTTCCTCCATGCGTGCAGCGAAATCTACAACGAACCCAGAATAGGTAATTAAGAATGGTGGCATGTTGTCTGACAGTTCTTAAATTTGCCGGTCATTCTTGCCATCTCATCAACAGTAGTTAGTCTAGTGAGCTAAGGTAATAAAAGCACATTGCCTCTTGCATCATGTTATGTGCCGAGCATCAAAATAGAGAATGGGATCGTAATGGTAGCAAACTATATTGTAAAAACATGTATGCTATTTGATTTTTTTCCCCTCAAGTATAATGAACTATGAGATGACCGTTGTTTATTTGATGTATATTTTGTTTGCTAATTTATTAAAAGAAAAAAAATCAGCAACGTTTATGAATATAGATTATGACATGCTCCAGCTTAGAATGGTCCGTATCAACTCAAAAAATTCTATAACGAAGCACAATAAACTAAATAGAGAAAGAAGTTATGCTGGGAAATTATGTGACGACCCTTGAACATATCACTCTCAAGCCAACAGAAACAACCCGATGCAATAGAGGCAGCTGGATGACGCCTCAAGTCTGTAACTTTGAGTTTTTGCATGCCAAACTTGACCGACAGCTCTTGCAGTTGTTCTTTTCAACTATTGACATGACGGGAAAAAAATTATCCGATTGGTGTTTATTTTGCTAAAGGATGTGCAGTGATGTCAGAGAAACTGAGGTTTCTGTTATTATTGAACTAACGGGAAAAAAATTATCTGATTGGTTTTTATGTTGCTAAAGGATGTGATGTCAGAGAAACTGAGGTTTCTGTTCTAATAAAGCGATCAGATTTAACCGTATAGGCTAATATGCACATAAACAGATGAACCCAATATCCTTTGCAAATTTAGGCAAGTGATGAGAAACAGTTGAACCCAGAAGACATATCCTTTGCAAATTTAGGCAAGTGATGCAGACAAGAGATGTAAAGCTTAACCTTTAAGATTAAGCTACTAATTCCAGCCTTGGATCCACTATTAGTCTTCAGTGTTTGCTTGATTATTTAAGAGAATTTGGTATTCTTGGCAGCTCAAGGTGAAAAACACTTGATATTTTTTTAAAATATTTTATTTATTTTATTTTATATATATATTGGGCAAAACTACAAATGATATTTTTTAAATTATTTTATTTATTTTATTTTATATATATATATCTTATAAGTAAGTTCTTAACTATATTAAATTTGTGATTTTTTTATTCAGGGAAGATAATTACATAGATTTTTTTATTATTATTAATATGATTATATAAATCTTTAATGATTATAAAATTTATATAATTTAAATTGATAATATTTTAAAAAATAAACTTATGATATGAACTGATAATATTTAAAAAAACAAATTTATAACGTGATCAATTTAGTGAAACCACCACCAAGTATCGGGACAAGTGGATAGGCTTTTTATTAATTGAGGTCTTGGCAATCGTTGAAGGGACCCTCGCTTGCTCCAGCCGCCTCTAGTTAGTTTCTTACTATTCTAGAACGAGAAATGATATCCATTACTTGGAAGGAATTTCATGCTTGCTGAACTTGTAGATAAGCTTCACATGAATGGTGAATCATGATTTGTGAGACCCATTTTATAAAACGTCAAGGAGTAATCCAATGCAAAACAGACAGAACTAATCGGTTGAAAAGATGAAGTTCTCTTCGCCCTCTCTCTCTCTCTCCTTTTGTTTTGTTGCTGAACAGGAGGCTCGATGAAAGTTAAGACTCCAAAACAGGGTTCTTGAATCTCCATCCATCACTGTTAAAAAGTGTACTGGTGTTTGCTTTTAAAGTATAATCAGGAAAAGAATATACTACTAGCGTCATGAGTGTTCTAGCCGTGTAGGAGCCCATTCAACAATGTTTCCACCCCGCCACTATGATTCATACACCTCATCCATACATAAAAAGGGATAAAGTGCAAATTCCCAATAAATAAAGACATCGAGACACAAAAAAGAAAAAAGAAAACTTTCAGAAAAAAAGATACAATAAAAGAAAACGAAAAAGAAAAGAAAAGGGAAAAAAGCAAATTACTTTATATATCTTAATTAAATATCATTCTCTCCTTCCTCGCAATGCTCTTGAACTATCTTACGTATCAATTAAGATTTTTCAACTAGATATGGTACATTCAAACTAATTTAATAATTAATTCATCTCTTGAGTTTGAAACCTAAAAATCAAATAATAGAGTATATATCCTTAGCCATCATACAAACTCTCTAAAGTTACCTTCTTCTATCACATCACTTTGATCTTCTTCTTCCCCTACTAATTTAAATTTTTTTTAGCAGTGATGAGAATGGTTACCCATGATTAGAGTTTTTTAATATTTATATTTTATCTGTTGATAAAAAAATTTAAATATTTATAAATTATTTATCAAGTTTTAATAAATATTCATTATCTATTATTATTTATTATTAAATAAAAAATAATAAATATATATGTTTTAAGTATGCATGCTAAATATAAAATGATAAATATTATTTATACATGTGTGTGTTTTATGCCAATACCAGTGTGTTTATTTATCATGTTGAAAGAATCTAAATATTCTACAAATTTATTTATATAATATAAATATATAATCCGGTTTATATTTGATTCGGTCAGATTTAATAATATCTACACCTTATTATTATCCATCAAGTTTAAAAAATAATTATCCATTTGAGTTGGATTGATATATATTAAATTCTAATTAAATTTTTATTTTTATTTTTCAGTTTATGCCACAAATATATTATATTTAAAATAATTTTTAAACATGGATACCTATTTTTTCATTAAGTGAAAAACAAGTTTTTTATGTTGGAAATTTTACTTCTCATAGTTTTTGAGTTTTATTGATGTGTCAATTTATCAATTTAAAAATAAAATTATAATTATTTTTTAAAATATTTTTTATTTTAAAAATTAACACATCAAAATAATCCAAAACATAAAAAAAATTAATTTTTAATAAAAAAACAAATTTTTTGAAACGTGATAAACCACATTCCCATGAAACGGGTAGTTTTAATTATTTTTAAAAATATTTTTTATTTAAAAATATATTAAAATAATAATTTTTTTATTTTTTAAAAATTATTGTTAATATAGTATATTAAAATGATTTAAAATTATAAAAAAATATTAATTTAAAATAAAATAAAATTTTAAATTTTAAATTTTAAATTTTTTTAAAATCACTAGTGAAACGGAAACATGAACAGTAACGGACACCCCTCCCCAACCATTCTAATTATATCAGACTAATCCTTCACGTCATTTTCCCAGCTAAAACAAGTAAATACAATTTCCTATTTTCCTTCATTATAACATACAAAAGCATCTTAAAGGACAAGTAACAAATAATAGGAAACGAATAACTAAACAATTATCTTGCAATTAAATTCTAGCTAATGGTTCTCTACAGCTGGTAAAGAAAGAAAACATAGCAAACTGGTGATGCTTTTTCTCCTCCTTGCAAGACATAAATTCAAACATTGCCAACTAATTAATTAAGCCTAATTATAAATTTATCAGCACAGATGGCGATAAAATTACATAAAGATTAATTCTTCACTCACTTCATCAACCAAAAACGAGATGCAGAAAAGCAAAAGCAAGAATATTAGATGCGGCCATCATGAGAGTTGGAAGACTATTGGTTGCCACAGACGCGTCAGTTTGATGAGGAGGCTTCCTGTAGTAGAACGGGAAATAAGGCAAGATAGGGTCGGGAGGTGGAAGACCATACAAGTTGTTGCCAAAAGGTGGAGGAGGGTAGAACGGTAAATTCCCAGCCGGAGAAGGGTATCCAGGAGGCGCGTATGATCCTGCTGACTGAGATGGAGGAGACGGCGGTGTTTTCAGTACTGTTGGGGTACCGGTCCCCGTGGGAGGAGGATAACAAGGATAAGGGCACTCGTCGTCCGACGTGGCCAAGCTAGGAAGATTGGCAAGTACGGATGTGAAGAAGAGGACGGAGAGAGTTAGGGTTAAGTTAATATCCATTTTTGTTAGTGAGGAGAGATAGAAGAGAGGAAATGAGAGACAGGAGCGAGTGGTGACGCGAAGGGGGTGTGAGTGATGGTGTGGGGAGTGACTTATGAGGAGACTTCAGGTTTTGGATTCTTTGGTCATGGCACGCCAAGCATGAAAAACGGAAAGGAAAAGGGGCTTCAAGGGCAAAAGAATTAGAAAGCAAGTTATAGCTAGTGTCTTTAATTTGGTGAAGATTGATTAAAAGAGGAGACACCTGGGGCCCATGAAACTCCGAACCTTCTCTCCGATGACCTTAGAATGAAGACAAAGGTCAGCTACTAAGACAATGATACAGGAGAAGTGTTGCAATAAGATGTGCAAATTGTCATTCAAGGGCAAATTTTCTCAGCTCTCTTAGCTTCACAAGATGTGACCTCAGAACAAAATTAGGTAGGACTTCAATTTTTTCTTCCAGTCACAGCTAGGCCTTCATCTTGAAATGTAGCAATAATAATTATCCTCTAGCCACCTCGAAATCGGATACCTTATTTTGTTGAATTTCAGAATCCCTAGTTATAGCTTGGAAAGGCTTGTTGGGTATTTGGTTAATTTCTATCATCCACTACTCTTTCTTACTGGAATTTACTTTCAAGTATAGAATAGCGTCTCGTGATGGACTAAAAACTGTCAAATCACTACTTGTTGCTAGAAAACCCCCCCTGCACGGGGATTTTGTATTTATTTACTTATTTATTTTCATCTACCCTGTGACTGTGAGGGAAACCAAAACAGGGCTGTGCGCTTAACTATATTAGCATAGCACATCGTAGCGATGTACTGCTGGGTCACCGATCGGACAATGACATTAAAAAGACAATGCCTCACTTGCCATAGAAGTTATTTGGCTCACAGGCAGTCACGTCAAATTGTTTCTTTTTCTAACAATTTCTACCCGGGTTGATTTTAATTTTCCAATTGTACGGGACAGCGAACTTCGATTATTAAACTATTGAAAGCGATTAGCTTTCTAAAGGAGAGTGAACTTTAATATGGAAAACGTACGTAATTTCTGGATCGAAAGTGCTAGTTGAAGTTTGTGTTTGCTGTCTTGAATCTTCACGCACTCTGTTTCGAGTATTCAAAAGCATATGCATTTTTGAAGATCTCAATTAAGTTACTTCGAGTTCTTATATGGGTACTGCTGCCTGCCTGGAACTCATCGAGATTGTACCTTCCTTTTCTTTTTCCTTTCCCCTCTTAAGCTCTGGCCTTGAGACGAATTCGATTGGTGATCTCTAAGTATAAAGATCAGCAAAATTAAGGCGACATGCATGCTCCTCAAAACAAGCCAATCACATGCTTTCCCATCGATTGCTTCAATAAAAAAAAACACTGATCCATTCCCAAATGAAACACATTCTTGATCTTAGCTGCAAAGTTTGGTGTCAAATGATTCGTAACTCCAACGTCGTGCTATTTGAGCCGTCTCATAACAAAAAGAAAAGGAAAAGATTTACAATACATATTTTATTTTTATTCACCTTCATTATTTAAAAAAAAATAGTGTTAAGAGAAATATAATAATGTGTAGACATAAGCTAACATGAATTTGTAGAGAATTTTTTTCATTCTACACGTGTCTGCAGAGATCTTACAATATCATGATGTTGGGATCAAAACTTAACATATAATTAAACTTTCATAAATTGAATTAACTAGACATAAATATGTTGTTTCATTAAAAAAAACAGTAATATAATTTAAATATGAAATCTAGCCCAAATGAATATTCTTTTTAATTCCGACTCAAACTATCATATGAGAGACATGAAAAAGGTTGTTGATTTCACAAATACTAGAAGATGGAATTCTATACCTACCATGTGATATATATGTCCTCTCGAAGATTGTGGGGTTCGATAATAGAACGAGCCGTGGAAAAAGATAGCAGCAAGTGAAAGAGAGTCCAATTAATTTGATGACTTATTTATTTTGCTGACTTCGAAAGTCTTGTTCAATCACTGTAAACTGATTCATCAAGCAACGAAGATTGTTGGGTGGAGCTGGAAAGTAAACAAATTGAGTGATTTTGACGTCTTTGTTAGCCTCCAACGTAAAATTACTGCATTTCATGACTTACTGGCTTACATAACCTTCATAAAGTGCCATCGTCACAAACAAACAAAAGAAAAAAGAAGAGGGACTTGAGGCACATTTGGAACCCGATATTCCTTTTTTTCAAAAAAAAAAGAAAAAGAAAGAAAGAATATTCCCGTTCCTGTCATGGTCTCAATTAATTGGATATACAGAAACTACAAGGCTAGGTGGAGTCTTTTTCCTAAATTTCATCATGTCGGTGGAGTTAGGTTCGTAGTACATGCTTTGTTTTTTATTTTTCTTTTCTTTTTGCTAAAGGAGCACTTGGTTTTTGACGTGCAGTGGTAGTGATAGACTTACAGCTACAAGACATTGATTCCAATTTCCAAACCCATTGAACATTTAGCATGTGTTTATGTTCGTGCTTATAGTTCATTCAGAAAACCATTGATGAAATTAATGAAATGTGCGACGTCAAGGATCTCGAAGCCCAAACACTAACCTGTCATCTTACAAGCTTTATAGCGCAACTTTCTTTTGGTTGGTTTTATCTGGGAATTAAATCCTTCTTTCAAACAGAAAAATAAAATAAAATATCTGGGATAAAAGTGGATGGGGTTAGATCTTCCGTTGCTCCGTCCAACCTTGGTCTGAAAATATCCGAATCCGTAATTCAATTTTATTTCCAACTCAGTTGGATTGGGCTGCAAGTTATCCACCTAATGGGTACCCGTTAGAAATTGAACCGCGTCGGCAACAATTTTTGTGCCTGTCGGTAGAAAGGTCAAGTAAGTAGCAAATTGTTCGGCAAAGGAGCGCCGTGTCAATAACCCAATTGATTTCGTGGCCTCCCTTAAGTTATTTCTTTTCTTTTTTCTACCTCTGTTTCTACCCTTTTTCTGCACATGACTGACTTCTTTTAATATAACTATCTCATCAACGGCTATATATATATATATATATATACAGAACCCCCCTTTATTAATATGATTTATGAAGTCTAACTTATTAGTTTGAATTTTAAGATTAGGATTTGATTATAATTACAAAATTTGCAAATCATTTGATTTTTTAAAAAAAAACTATTAGTTGTTTTTATCTACAGATCAATCCTGAGCATCGATTTATTTAATATATATGAGGGAAGCCAAGACAATGAATGGGTCTGGTACAAGTGGGAAAGCTACTTATCCTATCAAATTAAGTTAATTTAGCCAATTTTGTGATGTTTCATCTACAAACTAAAGCAATCCACGTACACTTAACCAGCTGGATGTATCAAGTACAAAGAAAGAAAGAAAGATAGAGAAGGCATTAAGGGAGTGTTTAAAATATAAAAATAGTTGTTTTTTAAATATATCAAAATAATATATTTTTATTTTTTAAAAATTATTTTTAATATTAGCATATTAAAACATTCTAAACTTCACCAATAAAAAATATTTTATAATTCTAACACTATTTAACAAAAATCTTTGAAAAATGACATGTTAAAGAAGTATTTTAAATATAATATAATTTGAACACAATTACTGTTAGAAATAGTGGTTGTTTTAAAAATTATTTTTGAAACAAATTAATTAATAGCTACAAAAATCAATTTAAAATTGAATGAAGATCCAATGGTTAATTAATGAAATTCAAAATCTTATGCCCGTTAAAAAATGAGCCACTAGAGACATAATAGAGCTCTGTTTTCGACACTTTTAATATTGTTAAAAAGATACCAATGAGATGATTCTAAACATACTTTAAAAGACTATCAAATATAATTTTAATTTTATGAAGGTTTTTTCAAGTTAATTTAGAGTTAATTAAGATCTTGTTTTGTGGTTTTTGAGGATATAGTTAAAATTGTTTCATTGAAATCTTTATAATATTATTAAGTGTATCAAAAACAAATCCCCAATATGTTTTCAATAATCTATTTTTTCTTTTGTCATTGCTTTCTTGATTTTATCTTTCAGTCATTAACTCTTAAATACTATCTTTTAGCAATTAGATGTATATAAAAATTTGAGTTAATTTTTAATAAAGTTAATTATTTAAAAAAATCATTACAAAACCACTATATAAATATTAAAAATCACATATGCGTTAAACTATTATTCCTAACAATAATTTTATATAGAATAGATGTTAAAGAACTATTACATTCAAATTATACTATTTTTTAAATACTTCGTTTTCTTTTCTTTTTGTTTTTTTTTATGACCTTATCTCGCTGAACCAAAACTTTTACCAATCTAAAAGTCTTCTTTTAAGAATACAATCCACCAATGAGGCATCCCACACCTGTGACCCACCACAGAGCTATTATTTTTGGGCATGTTGATGTGACTGGGTCCTTCAATGTGGTGAAACCGAAGTTGATCTCGGAACTGTAGCAGACGACATCTGACACATAGGTAATCAGAGCTGATATATCCACAGACAGAAAATCAGATGGTCGACATGTCTTCTTTGATTTCACATAACATGGATACGTGGCATTTAGGGCGAGGAGGCTTCACAGGGACAAATGGCACTTGCCTGGTTATCCAAACTCTAATTTCACTGGGCACTGTAGTCGCTGTGGCTTTTGATAAGAAAAAGTTTTTTTTAAAAAAAAAGTGAAGCCGTAGAACGTGTAAATCAGAGCCTGAAAAATTAAAATAACCCAAAAAAGAAGACAAATTAGACATTTATTACTAATTATAAAAAATAATTAAATCCATGTCCTGTAAATTTAAATTGTTTCGATCGGCATATATCTACTTTTGGAGATTTTACAAGTTAATTTTATGTTTATTCTTTTGCTTCGAGTAATGTTATATATGAATTAGAATTCTACATTTCAAAGCAAAGATTAGTTAAAGGTGTACTTTGATCTTGAAAGTTCTCTAGACTTTCTTGCTTTTCCTTGGGTGCGTGAGAGGGTCTCGAAAGAGGGCGCGAACTGTACGGCCAGCATGGTATTAAGGCAACATTGGCTTTGTGGTTGGTATTGTTATAATTTTTATAGTTATATTAAAAAAATTATTTTATAAATGAAAAATTAGTTAAAGTTAATTTGGTATTTATATATATATATTTTTAAAATTACAGTTAAAATTGAGATTAAATAAAAAATAATTTAATGTATTTAG